TGAGTTTTCCTTACAACTTCACTAAGTCTTTTGCTCATGTTTAGGAAAATGTAGTACCTTAAAATGTCTAAAGTAAAAAAAAAAATTGTCAAAACATTATTTCAAAGATGTACAAATGGATTGAGTAGTTTGGTTAATAGCAGACAACTAATTACTTAGATGATGTAATAACTAGTGTCCACCCCGAGGCAATAATTTTTTACCCCGGGGAATGGGTTCCCTGTGAAAAACAAATTTAACCCGGGGTAAAAATATTTGAAATAAAAGATGCTTGATTAAGATTTTTATTGATTTATAAATCGGATTTAAAAAAATATTGAACAGATAACAAAGCTGACAAAGTTTTATCACTTTTTTGTTCAAGCTTGTCATAAAAGTAAACAGATCTGGAAAATCTCACAGTATAAAAAAACACGTTACAGAATTTAAGTCTAATCGAATACTCATACGTCACTTTCAAAATACCTCTATAAGACGTCATTTTTATTAAGTTTAAAGCATTAAAATAAAAAATTCTTTAGTGAGCTCAAATCTATGTGAATTAGAGCGATTAAAAGAAAAAAAAAAAAGCGATTAAACTCGCAGCCAACGATTTCTTCAGATCTTTCTTCTCTTAAAATGTTTCTCTTTCATTTTCAAAGGTTTTTTACCCTTTTTCACTGACTTGTATTTCAAATCTATGGTGCGTTTCCTATAAACAACGCCGATCATCATGAGAACAATGATTTTGATGAGGACGATGGTTTTTATGAATTATTGTTATGAAAAAGATATTTGTTCAGTAAAATAGTAAAGATTTGCCCCGGGATATTTCAAGTATTTTACCCCAGGGCAAGGGGTGAAAAAAATCGCTAAAATACCCCAGGGTGGACACTAGTAATAACTTGACAAGTAAAATAGTTACCCATTTTCTATTTTTAATTTTTAAAAAATTTTTTAATTTCGGTGCCTAAAACTTACTTTTCAATTACTATGGTTAAAATGAAATGTGTGTTACCACACTAATCGAGTATTATGCATGCACTAATCGAATATTGGTTATAAAAAAAAATTTAATCACACTAAACAAAAATGCATTAATCGAGGGATCCCTGTATTTTTACATTGTATGTCATATAAAATGAATAAGCCTGAATTATGTATCAGAGTTAGTATTTACTCAAAATCTTAAATCCTGAGCTTCAACAAAAAAAACTTAAATGTGTTTGGGATGTTTTTACTATTAGAAATATTAATACTTTTACATTCCACTCATTTTTTTAAGACTTTTCCTTGGTTTTGACAATTCTGTTCAATGGAAAATTGAATATTACCAAACTCTAAGTTCTAAAAAGAAATCAAAATCCAGTTTATCCTTGAATAACAAATATTGAAAACAATTTTTGTCTTTAAACAGCCTGTACTACCTCATACAGCATGCTGTATAATTTGTGGCAAAGATGGTTTGGAAAAGGTGAATAATTCACAAGATACAGATTCAGCAAGTCTCATGGAATGCTCACAGTGTTGGGAAGTAGTACATCCAACCTGTCTGTATGAACGGTATCCAGAACTACCTCAAGAAGGATCATTCAACGATGATCTTCCTAACAGTTGGGAATGTCCAAAGTGTTGTAGAGATGGGAAACCTGAACAAGTGAAGGTAAAAAATACATGCCTGCACATGTGTTTGCATGATTATAATAATACTAGTAGTTAAACTAAAGTTACAAATATTGACTAATGAATTATGTAGAATTTTTTAGTTGTAATTTGAAATGGTTTAAAACACCAAACATGGAAGATTCTGTATAATATGTGTTAAAAATAAAATGTGGCAAGATTCAAAAATGGCTTTGGTTCTGTCCAAAGACAAATTATAAAGAAAAAATATATATATACAATTTAGAAAGTCTAATTTATTTTAACAGAACTGTCAGGGCTCTGCCTTGGTGTGGATTGAAATTTTATTTTGTTCTATTTAAACAAGTTAAATATTCAGTTATTATGAGATTTTTATAAAAATATGCTATTATTTAAAGCTTTTATATTTGTCTGTGCAATATTTATTCGAAGAAGAAAAAGCTAAGGTATTTTACATTAATATTCAAAATGGTGTCATATATGGACTGTATTTTAAAGTTCTATTTACTCAAGTTGCTTCCAAAACTAAAATTAATTTCTGTCCTTGTAACAAATGCAGAACTATCACCATTTGCTCATTCAGTGCATCTATATATCACCCCTTAATTCTTCAAGCTATTGAACATATTGGTCATGTTTTAAAAAATGAGAATCTTACAATAATTCCTACAACTGTCCCTATGATTTGTAGTGCTTCTTATAAAAAACATACCCTTTTACATGTAGAAGAAAACAGATTGACTAGTAATAATGTGAAATTTTCTGGGTTATTATATTTGAATATGTAGTATCTATAACTGTTTATTTTAACAAAATTTAAAGGGGGGAACTAGTTACCCACATTTCATCAATCTGGCTTTGATTTTTTTTTAGCCAAGACACATGAAAAGTGGTCGTCAGAAACCTCCAGATACTCCAAGACCTGCCAAAATTGCATCTCCAGGAGAAGTGTTCAATAATCATACAGACTGTGGAAACCTAGAGACAAACAGTAGCACTTTCCAAAGTATAGGTAACACCGTGAAACATGCTTCAGGATCTACGGATGTAAATCCTGCAAAAAAAAAGGTATAATTCAGATATTATAATTGGTAGTTGTTAATGAATGTTTTCTATTTTCAACTCTGTGAACAAAACGTAAGTTTGTTATATCTGAAGCAAGTGGTTATGCAGGTTTAGATGTATTATGTGCTTTTAAGCTCGTTAAGAAAAAATTACTTTTATATGAAAGTGAGCAAATTAGTTAAGGGTTGTAGAAGTAGAAGCCCATTGGGAGTTTTTAGGACACACTTCTTAAGAAATTGCATGAAAAGTAATTTTTTCCAAAATAAAATTACCTATGTAGAGGTAAGTTTAGACTGTTACATGTAACCCTCCACATTTTTTGGGTCTTTCATTAGTATTAAGTTGTTTTTTTTTGGGGGGGGGGAGAGAAATCATTCAACCTTGATGCAGAGTATGTCAAGTCTTTAGGAGATAGTTAATAAGCTTACCGGTTGTGCTTTAATTTGATAAAATGTTTATTTTGTTAGGAACAAAATTTTCCACATGTGTAACCACTAAATAAATGAAAGGTTAATGTTGGAGTGTAGAAGGTTTGTGCCAGGTAATATACCTAAAATGCATTTCCGACATATGTTTATTGTGTGTCATATATATATATATATATAATTTTGTTTCTCTCTAAGGCAAAGCTAGAATGTACAAATAACCAGGATAAAGAAGAAGGAGACAGTTCTTCCATTCAAAAAGTAAATATTGTAAAGAAACCAGAAGTAATACCTTCCAAAAAATCCTTGTTCATTTCCACAGATAAAGATGGGGTGAGTAAGCGTACACGTACCAGGCGTCTTCTAACATTACTACCAGTGAAGCTTTAGGATTGAAATGGGAGCAGTGCAACCCACTTCCTAACTGTAGAGCACCTCTTTCTTTAAGAAAAGCAACTAATAACAACAGTTTCAGTGTATGAATGATATTTCAAAACTTCATAGAATTGTTAAGCATTGACCCTTTTTTCCATTTTGCTCTCTTCAAGAAATTATTGTTTGGTTCCAAACAGTTCAGAATGTAGGGTGATGTTTTCCTTTCATTGATGCTCATAACTGGGGACCTGTAGTTTTCTTTTTATATTGCAACATAGCATTAACTACTTCAACAACAGTGTTTTAATTTTTGAGTGTTAATTATGGATATATTTCTACATCTTTGTAAAAAAAAAAAAAAAGAGAAGTTTTTACTAATACTGGCACTTTACAGGGTACTTATTTGTTTACTATTGGAGGACTATTGCTACAGTCTGGTTTCACATCTTGAAGTTTAAAACAGCATATTTCATTGTGAAATGTTTAACCCTGCCTGACCTAAGAGTAAATGGGTGTTGAGAGTCTTAGTCAAACAAGCCATCCTAACCACACCTTTAGTACTCACTGTAGTGTTTCATTTTCTTTCCCCACCGTGTGTTGATATATATATAAATGTCCACTAGTGCTAGGGATATTTGTAGCCATTAAAAGTAGTTAATATTTATAGCCCAGATGGTAGCACTGTACTGTGATACAAATACTGTGATAAGTTTGTTATATAAAAAATACTCAATTTGCTTAATGTAAAGTCTTATAAAAAAAAAAAATGTTTTTGTGTCTTAGTTATATTCACTACTTTCTGATACTAATCTTCAGTTCATATAATCATATAAAAACATGGTATGTGGCATGCTTCCAAAATGTAATACAAATTTGAACATTTATAAAGTGGTTGAGTAAAACTCACTATGACTCAAATAAGTTCTAGAAAGTTTACTACTGCTTTGTGAGTACCTTTTCTTATGTAATTGAATACCTTCTAATAAATCTGTAAATACTGGATGCCACAGATCTTGATTTTCAAATAGTTCACATTTCCATACTTGTGTATTAAAGGTGAAAGTGTAAAATAATTTGACATTTTATCAGAATGACACTAAAAGTAAAATGTCTGGCCAATAAAACTTTATCCCTTGTTATGTAGCTAACTGAATGACAAGATTACAGCCTTCAAAACAAAACTTATTCATCCATTTTTTCTTTTAATTCACATTAACTGGCCATTCGGTGCCTGCCTGCATCACTTTAGAACTACAGAATTTATATGTAATAAAAAATAGGCTAACCTGTAAAATACCTTGTTTCTGTACATGAGAGAAACAGATATAAAAATAAGAAAATGAACTGTGGTAGCAATGCTTGTTTTGAAAAAGTATGCTCTCCTCAATTAAAACATCTGTTTCTATTCTTGTGACTAGAACCTGATCTAAAGAATTAGTGAAAATGCTAAATGACCTTGTTTTTATTAAAGCTTGGTATCTAAGTGAATTTGCATGATTGTTTTTTTACTGCATTTCACTTTAAAGACTGTGAGTGTGTGTTTAATAAAGTGTAATTTTATCTGAAAGTTCCATGTTTTCAAGTACATATAACATAGTAAAATATTTCTCTGTTATGCATGTTTGTAATTTTCATTTCTTATTTCTTTCTCTCATATGACTGAGTATTGGAACAACCAGTTCATTATTATGAAAAGAAAGGCTTTTTGTGGTAATGAGCTTTTGTTCTACAGATGAATGTATAATACAAGTTTTATTAAAAGGATTTCTAATGGCTAACTGTTCTTCTGTCTGCTATGAAGTGCTTCAGACTGCTTGCTTATGATACTTAAAGATTGCACATGATCTCTTTACTTTAAGCCTGTCTAACGTGCAACTGGTGCAGTAATAGTTGCCACTAATCTGCTGTTTTTTTTGTTTAGATCTTGCATGACCTTAAAGGATCACTCAATTTTTGGTTTAGTTCATTATTTAAGTTATTTCTTTTTACTTCAAGTGAATTTGCAAATACTGGTACATTGCATGATTCTACATCTTTATCTTGTGCATGTACACAAATCGGCTATTTTTATATTCTTATTCTGCAACTTAGTATTTTACCACAAATTCAAAACTTGAATTATTTTGATTTCATTTTAAACCTGTTATAAACTTTTCAACTGAATAAAATCCCATAAATTTAAAGACTAGATCCCAGTAACCACTCCTTACTTTCCTAACTTGCAGGAAGAAATTATTCATCCTTCACCTCCCAAGCGTAAGAGCATGTTTTCAGAGCAGTACAAACACAGATGTGAAGAACTGAAGAAGCAAGCCACACAAGCCCATGTCAGATCCTGTACTAAATATACTCTTAACATTAAGAGCAGCCACAAGTCAGCTGGTAGTAAATCTGCTATGAAAACTTCTTTTCAGTCCTCTAAACAACCCACCACAGAGTTCTGTCCTCAATCACTTTACTCTGCGTCAGGAGCTAGAAAGCATGGTGAAACAGCTAGAGAGCGTCTAGTGAGGAGTCTGAAAGGGCTGAAGAAAAATTCTGAGATGAGACGGCATACAGTTATGAAGTTGAAACCTCGTCCCTCAGATAATATCAATGTCAGTGGTAGTAAACAAGATTCAACATGGAACCCAAGGGAATTCACTAAGTGTGAAGTGAAGGTTGAAAAAGTAGACAGTAATTTTGCTCCTAAGAGGCTTAAAGCTACATCTGGTCTCCACAATAATGATGAAGCAGAAAAAAACATACCACGTCATGCACCACGAATTACCATGACTTTAAGAGACAAGCCCAACCTCTCAAAATCTAAATATGTAGTGAGGCCAGGACCATTTGTAGAGAATCTTATTGAAATCAAAAAGACATTAAAGGTTGGTTTCAACAGCTTAGCACTAAAAAAAGATGTGATGCTGCCAGTGTTTCACTACTTGTCTGCAAGTGATTTGTTTACTTGTCAGCTAGTTTGTAAAACTTGGAACCGTTGGACTGTGGATCCTAGGCTTTGGACATACATGGACTTTAGCCGCAAGAAAATAACCGCCACTATTTTGATGGGTATTGTTCGAAGACAACCCATCTCTCTTAACCTGAGCTGGACCAACATATCTCAACGCCAGCTCTCCTGGCTGATAGCAAGGTTACCACAACTAAAAGCTTTAGTTCTGAATGGTTGCTCTACAGCAGCTGTGTCATCTTTGTGTACTTGTTATTGCCCTTTATTGTCTTCCTTGGACATCAGTTGGGTTGAAGGACTAACTGATACCTTCATTCGGGAGTTACTTTCCAATCCTCCCGATTCCCGCCCAGGCTGTGTTGAATCAAAAACCCGTCTTCACAAGTTGCAGGAAGTACGATTAGCTGGAGCAGATATATCTGATGTATCGGTAAGGCTTTTGGCACATCATCTTTCTCTGCTGTCCTGTCTTGATATGAGCAACTGCCATAAAGTGACAGACATGGGAATAGCTGTCCTTGGTGCAGCCAAGTCAAACCGATTAACAGTTCTTGATGTCTCCTCTTGTGCAAACATTTCCAACACTAGTTTAGAGGCTCTTAGACAATGTTCTAGTCTTTCTTATCTGGATATGAGAGAGTGTCCTCAAGTAACTGAGGATGCTTGCCAAAAATTTGTTAACCAGAGTCAACAGAAGCTCATAACAAGAGAAGAAAAGTTGATAGAAAAATACTGGTGACTTTCTACCATCACTTTTTTATTATAATTAGTTTCAGATACTTCCCTACCATCATGTTATTTTATGCTGTTATGCATGTACATCTTATTTGGTCCCTTAAATTCTTCAGTGTTTCAAGTGGAAAAAAGCTTCTGTACATATGGTCTGTTTTCAGTTATATCATATTTTTAATTCACCAATGGGATATTAAAATTCTTTAAAGTATACAAAATATTTTTGAAAATTTTCACTGGCTTTTTAAGGAAATTATTCTGAGCAAATATATATCCAAATTTTTGTACAATAATACTATTTTTAGATAACCTCAATGATAATTAAAATTTCCTCTGCAAAGCAAATGTTGTTAAGAAATATGTTACAAAAATTTATCTCTTGGGTTTTTCCAGAAAGTGGTATGGTTGTATTTTGTGTTTGGAATTATCTTATGTTTCAAGTAAACAGAAATGTATGATTTACTACGAACAATGCAAAGAAAAATACTTATATTGACTGTTGTGTTTTAAGGTAAAACTAAATTGTTCCAGTGTTAGATGTTAATATTTTAGGTCATTTTTGATTAATGTCAAAACATAAAGCATACTTTAGAGTTAAATATTAGTTTGTTAGAAGAAAAATGTGAATTCATAATCATACGTTTGTAAGAATATGTATATTCTCATGTGACTATTATTTCTGACACCCAGTTTACAATATTGCATTCATTGTGTACAGTTCAAAGCCATAGTTTTCAATTTAATAAATAAATCCCATCATCTGACAGATGTTTAATTAATAATTTGATTTTGATTATTATCAATAATTAAGAAATTTCTTCTTGTATGAAAGGCTTAAAATTTACTACAATCGCGGGAGTTGCAACAAGAAGCACTGTCTATAAACAAAATCACTAATCAGTTGGAAAGATCCGCAGCCAGTCTCGCTAACTCTTGTGATATCACGAAAGTATATTTATAGCCCAGTAATATGCATCATGCAAAAAATAACCATTACATAAAATTATTATTCACCTATGATCAGGCATTCATAAATAACAATAGTAATAGCCAAATATTTTTGTAAAATTACAGTTGTGTAGTGTGCTAATTTTAGATAATCCATTATATTTATAATCAAAAGGTGTCTAGGTAATTATGCAATACTTGTCTGTCAACATGAAGTCATTTTGTAAGTCGTAACCTCTCAACAAGCTGGTACATTGATTGAATCAGTCAGTCTGTGTTCCAGCTTAGTGATCTCTATAGCTGCAAATTTGTTTTAGAAATAAAAGTGTATGAACCCTGCATGACAGAGCTTTTGTTTTATAAGTAAAGAAGAAAACAATACAGATGATTGGTGCCAAGGTCCATTCTTTGTACGTTTAATGGGAGAAATTAAATTAAATAAGGTTTACTATCAACAATTTGTAAACATGTTATACTGAAAGGAGATCAAAATTATTGAATAATTCCTATGGGCTACAGGACACCTGAGAGACATTAACCTACAGTACCACAAATAGTATATTTAGCCAATTTGCAATAAGTTTAACCTTTCTATTACTGACAGCACATTTCCAAAAGTAAAATTTAAGATTAATAGGGACATGATAGTTAAATGTATAATTTTTCGCCTCGCACCATTAAATATATTGAAGTGGATAATATTTCTATTACAAGATTCTAAAATAAATGTATGCAAGTCACACAACTGTATAATGATAGTTATTCTGAAGTCATTATTTATTTTTAAAAAATTATTGGACATATGTGTGCTATATATTACCTCAATGAGATTTTAAAATTTTTTAAAGCTGTACATCTTGGCTACATTTAACTGCACATTTCAGGGTTAAAAAATGGTTTCTATTGTTATTTGCATAAATAGGTTACCAAAATTTTATTTTAAAATATTAAACAAAAATTATGAAAGTTTTAGGCAGCAAAAAAATCTCAGTGACTTGTTAAAAAGCTATAAAATGTAATCACAGGAAGTTTTAAATTGTTGGTAATGTCAAGAGTTGTAATCACATATCAAGACCAATATATTTCATTATGCCATGTAGAATGAAAAAAATTAAATGATTGATCTAACTCTGGATCATTTTGATCAGCATGGCCAAAGAACATAGTGCTACACAAAAAACAGCTGGTAAATATATAAAGAATGATGTATATGGTTGATACAAGCAACTTCACATTCAAGTATTTGATAGCCATCATCACAGTGCATCTTACCCTTTTAAAAATTACTAAATCTCTACAACTGAAACTGTTTTAATCCTGTTAGAAAAATTCCTCGTGTAAATGTTGACTGAACATATGAAAGGTTAAAAAATTAGTTTTTATAAATACATGATTCATACCTTAAATAATTACTCATCTTTTGATACTAAAACACAATAGAACTGCAGTCAATTTAATAATTATTTGAAATTGATTTTCCTGACATTTGAAAAAATGTTGAAAACTGCTCCTTAAATCAGAACTTCCTTTTTTTAAAAATGATGTGAATATGTTATAGAGAAAAAAAAATTCACCTTTGAAAAAGAAAAAAGCTAATAAAATAGTTTATTTACATTACAATACATTTAACAGCTCACCAAGAATACAAACACATTATTTTCGTCTACTTCTGTCTGATACAGATCGTGACCAAGAACTACGTTTTTCCTTTGGAGAAGGAGACCTAGGGTGATGCAACAAATAAGTAAATAAAACATTTTAACCATGTAAAGTAAATCACTTTAAAGAATTAATGAATAAAATATGTTAAACTTTTTTATTGCTGTGAGAAAAACAACAACTTTGGAGTTAGATTTGTTATTCAATATGATCCTAATATATTTCTTATTGATATCTCAGGTGTGTGCTTATCCCTCTTTAACCAAGTGATAGTATGTTCCCCTCTCTTCATGTAACCACATGTGAAACAAACCCCTCAAACACTTGATACATTTATGATTTATAATGAAATTACAACCACTACATGACATGGCTATGTACCCACCAACTTGAAAGCTGAGTTTCACATACACTTGCTCTACAAATTACAAAAGTCACTGGTATTTCTTTTGTTTTTATTACTAATCTATTCATTTAAAAAACAATTTCCCATAATGAGAAGTTCGTTTTCAGCATTTAAACCAGTTTTTATCTTTGCACAGTTTTCTGTTCTTTTAGCTACTTCATTTGAAAAACACATTTTTAATAAATACAATTACAGGCCTAACAATGTAACATGCTTGCCCACTTTATTGAAAAAAATTTTGCAACCAAATATCTTGCATACATAAATACACATACAGTATTTATGTTACTACATTTTATTTATAAAGGTAACTCCTTTCAGAAGGTGCTTTACAGATGTTTCAAAAACAGCTTCAGCCAGTCTTTAGATCATGCCAGACAAAGGCCACCATAAGACTCCATACATTTAAAATTACCAACAGCAGGTTTTTCAATGTGAAAAGCAACTACCAAAGTAAAATAAAATAAAATAAACAGCAAGTGAACCAATAATGTTCATTTATTACCTTAACATAGCATGTGAAATAAAAATTATATATTTGGTTTTTTTGAAGGCACATGGTCAAAGAAAAACTTCTGATGTAATAACTAAGAAATTTAGAAAGGAGGACTGGCAATAATCAATAAACGTAAGTTAGTATCAGTTACAGAAAAAAAGGAATTTTCCAACACCAATGGATACAAAGTGGTGGACATTTACATTTTGCTTGGAGAGAGTGCCATTGTGTACTTGAAAAGATTTCTGTATATACAAGTAAAATGATTATAAAAATACATTTTAGCATGTTTGACAATGCTATAAAATAATTTAATGTAACTTATGATACTATATGCATATGCTGACTTGTTACAGTATTATTTCTGGGGGGGGGGGATAAAATCTACTAATGAAGAAAAATACTCGTAACAGAATTTACTCATCATTTACTGTAATGCCAAATACACAGTTTTTAGTATTCAAACTAGTTGTTAACAGAGAAACGTTTTCACACAACACTTAATGAAATACCAAAATATTTAAGCTATAAAGTTCAAGAGAGGTTGGAATACTGAAGTAAAAGTTCAAGAAATATATGTGAGCATGATGAGACAAAACAAAATAGTACTGTGGATATAATAGGTGAATTTGGACTATTTATTGAAAAAATTTTTCATGTATATGACTTAAGTTTTAATCTTGCTACATTTTCCACAATGAACAAAAAAAAAATTCATGCCATCTGTGGATACCTTTGGGATCATAAAGGTCACTGGATGACTATTTTGTTATTGCACTATATTTTGTAATTTTTTATATTAATCAATTACTTAAGTTTTGTTTTTTACTAATGATGGTAATATTTTTATATTAGGGCTAGGAGGAGATTAGTTGTATATTACACAGGCCTGCAAAGTTAAGCTTCATAAAAGTTGTTTTGGTTTTAATAACAGATTTTCCATAACTCAGCTATGCAGATTTCGAAAATAATATTCTTTTTTTTTCTATCATGTAATGATTTTTTTAAAATTGGTAAGAAAAAAAAACTCTTACTTAGATCAAATTATTATTTTATTTCCCACAATGAACATTTTTTATTATTACATTTGTTAACGAAAATACAAAGAAAAGGGAAGAACACTGATGTCAAACGAATATTCATCCTGATTTTTTTTGGTGAAATCTATGTCTTTTTGTCTCAAAACTACTTGTTGTGGTCTTTCTTTTATGTATTGCATCTGGAGCATCTCATTTCAATGACCAGCAGTAATCAGCCATCATGCTGATGTTCCACCTTCCCTGATACTGCCTCTTCATTTCTGTGATGTCTTGATGAAACCTTTCCCCTTGTTCCTCATTGACATAACCGAGGTTTTCAGGGAAATAGTCAATATGTGAGTGTAAGAAACAAACTTTCAAGATCATATTATAACCCAACTCTTTGAATTTATCGAGCATGTTATTGACAATATTTTCATAATTTGAGTCCTTGTTAGTTCCAAAAAATTTGTCAATAACATCTTTAAAGGCAATCCATGCTTCTTTTTCAACTTTCCTCATTGTCTTTTTGAACTGTTCATCCAAAGTCATTTTCATAATCTGAGGCCTAACAAAAATCCCTTTAAGTTTTGCTTCTGAACGAGCCGGGAATTGCCCATATACATACTTGAAACAGTCACCATCTTTGTTTAAGGCCTTTACAACTGCTTCTTCAAGCTCAGTTTTATGTGAATTAGAGGTAATAGGACTTTCTTTGTGTCAACCAAACTTTCACGTTCAATGTTTTTGATCCTGATTTCATGCTCTGCTGTCCCATTCACACATAAAACATGGAAACTTTGTATAACTGGATTATTGACCCAACAACATACAAATGCCTTTTAAGTCTCCACAAAGTATCCAACCATGTTCTTTGTATTTGACCTTATTAAGAAAAAGTTCAAGATTTTCGTACGTTTCCTTCAAGTGAACCAAATGAGCAATAGGAACAGATGCATATATGTTACCATTGTGAAGGAGAACATCTTTTAGACTGCTTTTGAAAGAATCAATGAACAATCGCCACTCACTTGGTTCATAGACTGCAGTTCCTAACATTGGTATTCATTCAGCAATATTGTTGCAATAAACCAGTGAATCTTCTTGCGAAAAGTATGTTATAAACTCTTTCTCACAATTTCTATACCAGTATAATGATGTCCCTGGAGAAAGTAAGTTCTTTGCCTAAAGTCTGGACCCCAAAATCTCTGAAAAATCTTTTGGAAGGCTCAAATCTCTCACCAAATCATTAAGCTCACCAGACATTTCAGGTTGAAAACAATCCCTATCATCATTTCTATTGACATAAGATTCAGAATCAGATGAAACTATATCAAGAGTCTCTAGTAGAATAGGTACAGGTACATCATATCTATGAGCAACAGGTCTTATAGCAGATTGAAAGTATGGATAAGAAATTTCCTTTTATTTCGAGTGTTGTACCCTTGCATGTTACATTAGCAAAAATAGCAGTCATTTCCGTGGTTTCTAGACTCAAGCCAGACTACTGGAATTTCAAAAGGGAAAGACTTTTTCTTACCTTTAGTCTGTTGTTTCAACTCCTCGACACAAAAATTTTTTTGACGAATTCTTTAATGTTTTGCCTTTGTTTCTTTATAACAAATTTACCACAAATATAAGAGCATATGTTTGAGTCATTTATGCAACTTCTTGTTGACATAGCAACAAATAAATAATATTGAAAAGAAAAAATAAAGTCAAAGTACACACAAAGACAGAGACAATCCAGAAATGACATGTCATGCAGCCTGTTAAGATTTTGAAACGATCCTATCCTTAAACACCCTACATCTCACTGACCATGAGAAAAGCAACTTTCATACTTTGACCTTGATTCCATTTAGAATACTCAACATTGTCTAAAGCGTCAACCTGCCAAGTGTGTTTGAGATTGACTCAATAGGCTGGAAGTAATTAACCAATAGGCTTTAGAAAATAGAAATAGGGTTAAGACAGGAAACAAATAAGATCCATACCAAGACCTTTTACCACATCAAAAGTCTACACAGATCATCTGTATAACATAATCAATTTAGGGCAACTGATGAGAGCTCACTTTGAAACTGCTGCACTCGGCTGACCATGATACGGTATTTGTAATTCAGTATAAGCAAATAGTTCTGCACCTCAATATTAAATAACTTTTACAAGAAGTGACATCAAGAATTCTTGAAATATATAAAAGATAGCTAATATTTTTATTTATTTTTAAGTACATAAATATTCTTACCTGCGAACTTGGGAGTACGCAAGTGGTGGGGTTTTTGGTCTTTTTCTTTTTGAGTGTGACCTTCCCCTAGAATGGGATCGAGATCTATTTCTCATTTTCTTGTGTTTACTCTTTGAAGGTGATCTAGACCTGGACTTTCTATGGGATCTGGAAGACTTCTTTGATTTAGAATGAGATTTTGAAGATGACTTTAATGGCTCCATGGCACCATCAGGAGCCGAAAGGACAGGAAGAGGCTTCAATGATATTCGTTGTTGTGTTATTTCATATTGTGGTGATGAATGGGTAGAAGAGACTGGACTATTCCTGCCAATGAAATGACATGAGAACACAAAACTTTAAAAAACAAAAAAAAGTACACAGTACAGTTGCTAAACTTTTGAAGGATAACTAAAAAATTTTCTTTTATTTATGTGTTTTAGTAAGATGCATGTACAAATCATAATTTAGTTAAACAAGTGTACACATAACAAGTAGGATTCTAAAATGTGATTTTACACCTTTTGTACAGGCAAATTAACATTTTGTACGTGGGGGTAGGATAATCAAAACTATAATGGAATTCAATTGTGAAGACAAAAATACTAACAATAAGGATTTCAGTTCTTTTTTTAAAGAACAAAATATTAATTACAGATGAATATAGGGATACATAAAGATGGATGTATCAACAAATATCAGCTATTAGAGCTGGGCCAATTAATTACTTACAAGAAGCAAATAATTGATTAAACAAAGTTAATGTTCCCAATCAGTGCTTTTTTAAATTACTGCAGTAATCGATTAATGTCACAAATATACAATTAATCAAAGGGAAGGCAACTGGCTGGCAGCTCTCACCACCAATTCTCTGACTACTATAGTGTTAAATAAGCATAAATTTACTGTTTCTATAACTTTATTTGGTAACTGTATTACTTATCATTATATACACCTGGAAAAAAGTTAAGCACCCCCGTGTTTTTTTCAAGTGATTCAGATTCGACGTTCTTGTGACTGATTATAAATTACCATTCAATCTAAACTTGTTT